CGGGTTCCAGGGCGTTGATTTACACTCCGTTAATGCAGCCTAATACACCATCCAATGCAGCCTCCCTTCATGAGCCTTCATGAACGTCGTATTGTTCCCACGAAAGCTGTGGCCAAAGGCATCATTTTCTTTGGTGGTTTGTCCATCCATCGCATTCTCGCGAACGCAAGACCTCCGGAGCCCCAGGAAGGACTTTTGTCCACATGAACACAAAGATGAATTGGTTAGTTCGTGGGGGGGGGGGTCAAAGGTCACTGTGACCTCAAGCTGTCCCATTGTCGTGATGTCTCGGGATTGCCTTGAGTCAATTGTGCACTTGCGCTTCGGTCGAACTACTAGTATATAAATGTCAGAGGTCACAACGTATGCGCATGCAACGGTTTGGATGATATACCACAAAAAAACCCGAGATGGGTGTCCTCTTTTACTTATTACATGCTTACAGCCTTTTCAGAATAGCTTTCCGTCCACACGGGGAACTCTGAGAGGGTCAAGCCAACAAAACCACTTTGTTATGTTTGGGAATAGATTGTCATTTGGGTTCATGAATCTACAGATGTGCTGGTAGTGTAGTAGGAAGGTTGCCTGAAAGGAACCTCAACATTTACTTAGTTTAGAAACAAAATGTGGTCTTCTGGCTGAACTGGCTTTGTTGGACCCGTCAAGCTCCACAGCTTTCAAATGTTCAAAATATCTTTTGTGGATATCAATTGCGGCTGAAATTAATGTTGTTTGATATCAGTCTGTAATGTAAAGAAGGAATATATTCCTGATGATAATTTCCCATAAATGGGGTAAAACAATGACGTGATGATTGGACGGATATATGCTGTGGCATGAATATCAGCTGCGGGACACAACCGTGACGTTGGAATTATTCTAGAAAAGTGGTAACTCAATTTCCTATGATGTACTGGTGGTGATATCCTCGTCCTCTAAAATGCCAGGAACTGTAGGAATCGCCTGCAGCTTCAACAGATCTCTTTGCTCTTTTTTAGGTCCAGAGGAAGCTGACACATCTTTTATCACAATCACCGAATGGGTTAAAGAAGCAACCGAGGGCCAATCTGTTGAAGATTTCTACTGAGCATTACTCACGGACCGGCCTGGTGATTGAAAGTGGCAACTCTCTCTTACCTATTTAGCCGCAATGTAAAAGATTGAGACATCTCACTCAGTATTCCTTCACATAAAGCGAGCTTGGTGGGACGATTGAAATGCTCAGCGGTGCTCAAGGTGTCCTTTTAAAACCCATTGCATGCTGATTTCCTTAGTGTTTTGAATACTTAACACATGGTTGGGAGTTCTGGATTGCACCGGTACGATTGCGGCGCTCAGCCCACGAACTAGACATGTGATTAGAGTTTGCATGAGACTTATTGTTGAACCTTACGTAAAGGTCAAGAGAGGAAGAAAAGTCCATCTTGGCCAAGTAGCTGAAGTCTTTCGCTCCTGTAGCAGAAATGATTAAACTGAGCCAGGATTCCTACAATGTATCCATAATTTAAAACCTGTCCTGCATGTGGGAGTGCAGCTCCAGAGTAACAGTTGGATGTGTGTGGGTGGGTAATACATTGTACGTGTTTGTTTTTTTGAGGGCCTGTTGGAGAGAAAGGCTGAGGAAAAGAAGAAGGCGCAAAGGGGAGTGTGCATAAAAAATAAAGATACTGAGTGCGCACGTGTGTCCCGAGTGATAGTGTTTTTTGGGAAGGGTCACTGCATCTTACAAGGGATCATCTAACAATATTGTGAAACAAAGATTTGGTAGGCCGAGGTACAGAAAAGGGAAAAACAGGAGAAAAGGAGGTTTGTCTCTGCACCCAATTCTATAGCAGGTTAAAATGTGCCCGTCCGACTGCACAAAACGCCAACCTTTGTAATCAAGCTTTCTTGCTGTCGTAACGATTGCGAACCAACGTGTCGGCCCCCGTCCTATTTGATGAACAGTGCTGAGCGGCCGTCTACTCAGACAGCAGGCAGCACTTTTTGCTCCGCTGAAGGACAAGTGGTTAATAATGGTGGGCGAGTGGAGCTCTCGTGTTCGGGGAGGCTTTGTGTCACAGGTTCAAGCAGGAATGTGGTACAGGTTTGATTTCTTTTTTCTAAGCGATGGGGATTTTGTCTGTGCTGAGGTCCATTTCCATATCCACTTACTCTTCATCGTGCGTCGAGCAGCAGATCCCGGCCTGCGAGGCGGGGAGACATCTGGAGCATAACAAGGAGCTAATACGCCTGGAAACTCTTTCAGTCAAAGCACAATCTAAATTAAATTCACTAACCATTGATTTAATTGACAAAAAGGGCAAGACCCCATTGCTATCTTTATCAAATTGATCCCCTTTCATTCCCAGACAAATTCAATTTAAACTGCAAAATACTAAAACTAAACTAAAAAGCCGTTCTGAGGGAGATGGTTGTATTAATTGATCATGAAAAGCATGAGGTTATACGACTATTGTCCTTAAAATACCTGCTGCGATTGTTGGTATGACGTCATTTTTTTATTTTGGCTTACTTGAGACCAGATGTTGATTGATTGAATGAAAAAAAATAATCTATTAACATTGATATCTGATCGTTAAGCCTTGTATCGGGCCCTGATCTAGTGTGAGATAATGACACAGAGACAGTATTTGATAAAATGGAGTAAAGCTCATCGACTTGCTCACATCCCTCACAAACTGGCATTTCCAGTTTTACTTATATTTCAACAAGGCTTAATTTCACATTGGCCAACAGGGATTTGGCTGCACCTCTGTGCTCACACCTTAAGGATTAAGGTGGTGTACCTCCAGAGTCCCTGAAGGGAATGCATTGAAGCATATGCAAAAGGTAAGCAGTGCTCACACTACATCCTCCTCCCAGGTCCCAGTGAGGCCGTAGGTGCTGGGGTGTAACCTTCCACCCCACGGCGCTCAGAGGAAATAGTCCTGGTTAACTTGGGCGTTACGTAGGCAGTAAGCTGCCACGTGCCTGAGTGAAAATCTGGAAAGATGCACAATAAGGCCCAGTGGAATGTGAAACAATGGCTCCCTCCAGGTGGCGTTTAGCTGTGGGCGGAGTTGGTGGAGGGGGACTGGGGCGGGGGGGGGTTGGATGAGACGGAAAGCTCGTCTGGCAGCCTGGCTGTTAGCATTGGACTTGGCAGCTCTCTGCCAGGGAAACGCTGACAGGCAGGCGCGCCTGTCAAAGCGCATGAGTGGCTCCCTGCAGAACGCTGGTCCCTGCGAGGCAGGTCAGCGCTCCTGTGCTCACGCGCCCAGCGCCACGCTCACGCCACGGGACGCTGGTGTGCAGCGGGGGCGTGTGTCACAGGCTTTATATGGTTGAGAGACTTTAAAAAGGTGAGACAAAGGCCACTGGTGTAGAAATGTGTTAAACTTTGCTTATTAAAGAGATTTATGTGATTGTATTTGCAAGGAGAGACATAATAAATAAGTTATTCACCTGGCGTCCTCTTCATATTTGAATTACAGTTGTTGTTGTTCTTCTTTTTACAATTGTAGATTATTTCGGAATGTATCCTGTTACATGATATTTTACTTTACTCACTGCTGATTAAGTAAGAATGAAATGTCAGAGGATGATCTTTCCAAAACAGCACAGAACATTTTTGATCAGTTAAACTGGAGGGAAAATGCAACAAAGAGAAGAAGAAGAAAAGCTTCCCTGCTGCAATAACAGCCATGAAATGCTACTTTTCCTGGTCAATTGACCCTTTTCCGTTTTCAACCCCATTAGTTTTAAGTACCTACATAAAATCGAACCAACAGAAAGCAGTGCAGGAATTGAGCATCTCACTGGTTGGGAGGATTTGCCCTCTGCAGGGCCGTGATCCCCTCACGGTGTGTCAAAGTGACCTAAAGACCCGTTTAGTAAATTTATTGAAATGATCCGTAACTCATTTTTAGCCGACGATATAAGTGACAAGTAATACGTGCTGCCGTGTGTATCCAGAAGAGCACTCCTCCCTGTGTGTGTCTGTGTGGGTGGTGTTTGTTCCCAGGCAGAGAATATATCTGTTTGTTGAGATTACCTTACTGTGGCCTTTGCTGTGGAAGCTCGGTGTTTGCATAGCCCGGCCCCGTTGTTTTGACTAGCATAACGCAAAGCAACAGCTCTCTCAGCTTGTTATCCTCGCGGACTTATCTGAAGACTTTGGTTGTTTTAATTAAGTCTGTGACATTTAAAAGAAAGCTCTGTTTCAGCTTGTGGCGTCTTGCTAAACGCCGCGGGAAGATTTTTACATCTGTCATTTCATGGTTTAAAGGAAGGCAAAGCATTTCACAAGAACATATTGGAGGAATAAAAAAAAAAAAGCAGGCATTATGGTAAAAGGACAAATAGGTCAAAAAGACAAGATGGCTAATTAGAATCTTCCCATGGCCGTGAAGTGCTCATCATCAGCATTATACATCTACTTTAATGCTTCAAATCCTTCTCCCTGCATTTGCTGTATTTCACCGGCCCTCGTATTGATCCTTCTTGACACGTATAGAAAATCAAAGTCACCTGGCAGTGAGAACTCATCTGATTTCCTGCAATAAATTTGCCTTTATAAGTCTCCAAATGCCTTGATTCCGATGCTCCGGTTGGTATCGACTTGAGTGGGGATTTTGACCCAATAAAGGAAGAAGGAGCGCCGGCCTTGCCTCCTTGCCTGCAGCCCTGCTTGCATATCTCACACGCATATATTCTAACGAGCTGCCTGGCTAAATGTTTTTCAGCAGGAGAAATTATACTTCCAATTGAAAGTGACTTTATAGAGTTAGAGGAGAAAGCCGATGGGGAGAGGAGGGGGGGGGTGAAAAGATATTCAAAGAAAGATGAATTGAGATTGATACACTTATAACAGACAAGGATTGTATTCATGGCTGGATTGCTTTTTCTTGGGAATGAGGAAAGTGCCATTTCAGTATAATACAGACATTCAATCTGCTTTATAAGCCTGGAATCTTAAAACCTTTTCTTCTGTCTTCTGTCTTTGTTCGGCCCTACAGATGTGCTGTGGACTGCGGATGATTTCTCCTCCTCCCGCGGCTCAAATTCAATGGCAGACAAAGACTGCACTTCTCGCCGTTCTTCTTACCATTGAGCTCAGGAAGACGGATCAGGTCCACGGCTAAACCATTGTCTCCTACACGTGCTTCTGTCTTATGTCCATCCCTCCTACCATCACCATGGCTTGTTTCCTGGCATCCGCCATTCTCCTGGTTCTCCAGACAAACGCTGCCCCACCAGAGCTCGTCCAGGCAGGATTTGGCCTGGCACTGGACCCCATGGATCTTGACACTGGACTAGCACTCAACGTCTCTGAAGATGGACCCTCATCTCCGCCCCCAGGGACGAGTAAAAGAGCCCCACACAGTATCATTATCGGGGTGCGTAAGGGCGGCACGAGAGCGCTGTTGGAGATGCTGGACATTCACCCGGAGGTTGCCGCTGCTGCCACCGAGGTGCACTTCTTCGACTGGGATGAGAACTACGCCAAGGGCTTCGAGTGGTACCGCGAACTGATGCCGTACTCGTACCCGCACCAGATCACAGTGGAGAAAACTCCGGGCTACTTCACGTCACCCCTCGCGCCGGAACGCATCTGTGCCATGAACTCGTCCATAAAGCTGCTGCTGATCTTGCGAGACCCGGCCGAGCGCGTCATATCAGACTACACCCAGGTGTACTTCAACCGGCTGGAGAACCACAAGCCGGTGCAAGCCATCGAGAACCTGCTGGTGCGCAATGGGGCCTTGAACATCCGGTACAAGGCCATTCAGAGGAGCCTGTACGACGTCCACATGCGCAACTGGCTGCGCCACTTCCCCCTCGAACAGGTACACATCGTAGATGGGGACGCTCTGATTCGAGACCCCTTGCCAGAGCTTCAGAAGGTGGAGCGCTTCCTCGACTTGCCCCCAAGGATAGTATCCTCCAACTTCTACTTCAACCAGACCAAGGGGTTTTACTGCATCCGAAGCGATGGCCGAGAGCGCTGTCTGCACGAGTCCAAGGGGCGTCCGCACCCGGCTGTCAACAGCACCGTCCTCCAGCAGCTCCGCTCCTTCCTACAGGAACACAACCGAACCTTCTTCAGGCTGGTGAAGCGCACCTTCAACTGGCAATGAGGCACCCAGATCAGACTCAAGGGAGCCCTGTCCTTGTCTTTGATGAGGGCAGACCGAGAGGGGGCATGAAGCACTTTACAGAACTGACATCTCAAAAAGCCCATTGAATAGCCACTTAATAACCACTGCTGTGATCTGTGGCTTCAGCACAGCAGTTGTATATCGACACGATAAGGCAAACAAAAAAAAGAATGAAAAACTGTAACTAGAGGCCTAAGATTAAACGAAAGAATCTCCAAGCTTAATAAGTCATTCTGTCTGTGCTGGAAGCGTTTAAGTGATCAAAATTGCTGTGAAAACACATTTATGGAACTTTTTTCCTTCTCGCTCTCTCTTGTTTGATATTCTTGTTCTTGATAATAAATTGTTCTGCTATCAAATGTACCAGAAAAGTGGCCTCTCCGTTTTATTCTGAAAATAAAAAGCCCCGGAGCCCTTTACCTGTGTTATTTAGAGACTATACTAAGATAGGCAGTGGCATTAGAATAAGTCTTTGATTTGCTGTGCGGAAGGCAGACATTAATGCAAGGAAATGGGTAGCCTGCAGCGGCGCTTTAGTAGTACAGGAATCACTAATGGCTTTGGACATTGAAGGTAGCCTTGCGCCTGCAGCTGAATCAGTCAAATCTCCATAGTCAGCAAGCAGAGATCCAGGCAGCTGCTGATGCATTTTGCCCTGTTCCACAATTTACTCAGGTGTTAAATGTAGTCATTAAATCATATGCTGCAAAACATTTACAAATCATACAGCTTCTGCGAATTTGTTTTTGTTTTTACCCTGGTATTATCTCTGTCCTGAATCGTATTTTGTACACAGTTTTCCCAGAAACATCTTGTCATCCCGTACGCAACAGATTGAGTCAGCTCATGTTTCTTTTATTGATTAGGCTCCAGACAGCAGCCAAAGCTACAGCTCCACTGGGATGTGCTTTTCATGTGATCTCCCCACTCTGCTGGAATAAGCACTATACCTCTCCAGGGGCCGACAGTCGCTGATGCTACGCTGGATCTATATCCAGAACAGAACAGGGGAGGGGGGCATATAGCCGAGGGCTATATGGAAATATGTTGAATATTTATATGAATCGTGTGATACGTTGTCAACTTGTGGTTTGAAAATTATAAATAGAGGAAAATACATGTGCGTGCTCGAGTCCTTTGTGATGACAAAGGCGGTGTTAAATCCCTCATACCTGATCATGCTCAGACACTTTTCCTTGCTGCAGCTTACCGGGGGGACACTCGGACTCAAGGGAAAGTCTTTAGGGAGCAGTGTGAGAAAGCCTGTCTGGACGTGTTCTTTCTAGGATCCCCTGTTGTCGGTGCACACACAGGTCAGGGACCTTGGACAGTTACTTCCCGACCCTTTCGGATGCCTGTCTGCTCCAGCATGTGTCGACCGGCCACTCGTCTGGAGGAGAGCGGCCCCGCTCCACCTTCCGTAACACACACACACACACACACCAAAATATGTATATGCACACAAGCGTTACCATTCATTTCCAAGGTGTTACATTGTCGCAGCACACTGTTCCCATTAATCAAGTGGGCAGAAAGGACAGAAGGGCGTGTTTTGGTCACAATATCAGAGTACACATTGAACAAGTTCGCTTTACACATTTGTGTTCAAGTTGATCGAGTATGTTTGCTGTTTTGCAGACACAGACCTAGATCCCACCGCCTGGTGCATCTGAGGATCTCTCATACTGCACTCAGCAATGGGTTATTTAAGGATTTAGCTTTTAAACAGCAAATCCCCTGAGGACATAGCATTGCAGCAAATGCAACAATCGTATAGTATTCACAGTATTCAAGCTTTCCTTGTAGGACAAGAGAAATTAGTTCATGGTATTTGTTGCTGACATTAAAGTGCTTAAATAATACTACCACAGAAATGTATTTTATTTTATTCTCTGTCTCTTTATCAACACCACAAGAGATATTCCGGCCTGTATTGTATTATCCTTGAACATGAGAGTATGGCTGCACTTTAACCCCAGAGGTGCTGCCGGAGCTACATGCTAACTTCAGCATGCTACCGAAGCTAACACGCTAATTTGTTTAGCTTTCTTCACTGTTACCATGTTTAACGTTTTGATTTAGCATGCATTTAACATACACTACTTTAGCTGAAATGAACAACTTGGCGCTTCATTTCATGCATCCGAGGCCAATGGAAATGCCATTTGTTTGGCAATTAGTATTAGACACATTTTTAGTTTTCCCTGATGGTTGTGCAAAATGGAAAATTAAGGGATCAGTAAATCTATCAAAAGACATGAGAATAATATTTCTGCACCAAATCTAATGGACCGTTGAGTTGAGAAATTTCTCTCAAAACCGTAAATGTCAACTCCACGGAGACACTGAAAAGTCAGGCGATACTAAAATACTCCTACATTCCAAGACTATAGTGACGTAGCCTGTGAAAAGTAATAAAGTAGTCAGCCTCATTCATAGACCATCCTTACCAATGTAACACTACTCAGGAGCTACATTAGTCACGGTGGTTCTACACTGTTCACGTGTCGCAGATCTACAGTGGCCTTCAGGTAAGGCAACAAAGAAGAGGAGGCCCCATGGGGTCTTTTTCGTTCTTGGCTGCTGTGGAAACATGGCGAACTCTGGGCGGAGATATATGGAACCTATTCTAAGCGAAAACGAAAACATAGCGCTCCTTTAACGTGAGTATACAATACTGAGAGCACATTCTGAATATCATATTTAAATTATGCTCACTGGCCCTTTAAGTGCATTCGATCCAGAAACCATGTGGTTACGCAATCTGCCACAAGTCTGAGGCCCAAAACCTCCACCCGCCGGGGCAGACCCTGGATTTATCACACGGAGACCAACAACCATTCACACTCACATCCACACACATACGAGCAATTTAGAGCGACAAATCAACCCGATCCCCAGAGCACGTCTTAGGGCTGTGGGAGGAAGCCGGAGTATTGGGAGAGAACCCACGCAGACACGGGGAGGACATGCAGACTCCACGCAGAAAGCCCATTGGGTGGAGGCGAAACCACAATCCTCTTGCTGCGTGCCGCCCTGAGCCCAAAACTGAGCTCTCTTATTAAAAACTGTCGTGTGCGGCGCAGTTTGCTCAAGGACCTGTAGTATTTTGAGCACAAGCTTTTTTTCTTTTGTTATACTGAAAAAGCACATGTTGCTTTGGTTCTGACGTACTATGAAGCAAGGCAAGTCATCTTAATCCCTCAACACTAACACGTTGCTTTAACTGATGGCTACAGTGAGTCACTTATCACTGCACGTCTTTCATAACTGCCAACCTCGGGCGTAATTAAAGGTTTTCGGGGTGGTCTGGAGCAATCTGCTGTAGATGTTTTGGCTTCTCTTGTCATCCTAGACGCCTCTAATGATCTGTCTGGGATTGTGATTGATGAAGCACTTAGCGTCGAATCAAAGCACAAGGAACGCTTGCTGCTTGCTAAGCTGCTGGCGAACGGCTGTAGCCACTGTATTTGCACGATACAAGTCTATTACGGCCGTGTCCTTGATGTGAATTAACGACCTTGGTGTCAACATTGGAAGCAGAACCGAGCGCACATTAGGAGTTGACTGGCGTGGCTCAGCAAAAATACAAAAGCTGTAAACACCACGGGTCGGTGATGCGTCAATAACGCAAAGGAGTTGGCTTCTTATTTCTTCAGTGTTTTTTACAATTAAGAAAAAATGACTCGACTGACTTTCAAAGATAATCTCACCGCCAACTGAATCAATGCCTTTGTGTTCTCCATTGAATGACAGCCATTCCACAGAGTCGTGCAAACATGATGAGGAATCTGGATGATGCTTCACCACTATGAAGCTATTTCTGAGACATCAAGGTGGCTCCTTTGCGGAATAAAAAAGCTTTAATTCAATGTTTACAGCCCCCAGCAGCAGCGTAGTGGTTATAGCTCAAATGCAAGTCGCCTGCATACAATATAACCAAAAATATTGTACAATAATCCAACCCACCGAAGCCTTTTTACATTTGGCTTGATCAGGAAAAGAACAATGAACATAAATCTAATGAGATCAGGGACTCAGAAACCGTGTTTCCCGAAATACACATTGGATTATCACACACACAAAAGGCTCAGAAACAGATAAATGTGTTTTCACACGTATTTTACATGCTCCGTGTTTCTTTTTTCCCCCTTTGTGATTACTTATTCATTTGTTTGTTGATTTATTTTTCATTGCCTTGGGTGCAGAGGTTATATGTTTGATGTGCTTTCACAGCAATCCTTACAAAAGGGGAAGGAGGGCTTCTGCCGCTGCATTCGGGTCAAAGGGAGGAGATAGAGGCGCATCTTCTTATTCGCGGCTGCATTTTAAGAGCCTCTGATTAATCCTTTGAGGGGATGGAGAAGCAAAAAAAATAAAATAAAAAAAACCTAAGGTGTGATCAGGGCCTGGGAATGCAGAGCTCATTGTAAAAACTGTTTGTGTCGGCGTGCGTGAGTGGCGCCAAGAGGAAGCACATCTTCCCCGTGCGAGCTTACCTCTCGCTGTTCTGCAGGAGACACAGAATGTTAATAGAGAGACACTGAGGCAGCGTTTCAGAGCTGCCTTTAAATGTCATAGCATGAGCTTTGTAATCCTCGAAACAAGTAAATCAACACTGGACTGAAGTTGTTTTTTATCGGATGAGATTTGTTAAATGAGTCAGGATGACAGACTGAATATGTATGAATGCATAATCTGCCATCTAAAAAATCCTAAATAGCGCAGCATAAGTATGCAGATTTTGACCCTATAGACAGTATAGGGCTGAAACCTGCACGGCCACAGCTTGTTGATGTGAGACCCACATGAGCTCCTGTGTTATACACCGCATAATGGTAACAAGAAATCTCTAGAATTATATTAATGATCAACTGACCCCATAAAAAAAGTCCCCATGACGTCGGTTTTTGGACCTCACCATCTTCGCCTTCTGTACACAGAAGTTGGGGGAGCCCAAGTCAATAGAACACCAAATACATTCTCCTAAAGGTCTCTTGTTGTACTGGAATGCTCACGCTGTCCGTCATGTGGGCCGTCCGGGCCTAATAATGGTTTTTATAGAGAGAGACACCATCACTAGATTTCCGTCAACTGAGGCCAATTAAGGCCTTTTCCCTGAAACACCCCCTCCCGCCTCCTCTCCCGCTGAGCCCAACCACGACCCGCCGCCACGACGGACGAGTCCCAGACCGAAGCGCTGCTATCGTAGCGACCTGTCAATCACAGAGCAGCCACACCCCAAACGCCAAAAGGGACCCTAACTGAAGAAATGAACTTCATGCTGGACTGAAAAAGACTTGAAACAAGAGAGGGTTACTATACACTCCTGTCTAATAGGTTTGTAAGAAAGATGTATTTTCTCATATAGAGAATATATATATATATATATATATATATATTCTTGTTAGCACCGT